CAGTCGCTCTCCATTCTAATCTTAGTATCCCGTGCGACCATATTCGACATACACAGTTGAAACAGAATGTTTAAATAACTTTCTATCTGCTGCTTTGTTTCATATACGAAACAACTCCACGAATTTTGATTAAATTTGGCATTGGAGGTATCTGTTGTAAACGTTGTTGAATTAACTTTTTTCCGATTTATTTCTGTGCTGCCAGCTTTGCATGAAGCTCAAATCGTACAGTTGTCGACGTTCTCAAGAAACGCATCATACAAAAACTGGCTCGTAAGACTGAGTATGGGTTTAGTTAAGTTTCTGTTTCAAACATACCTCTTGTGGCCTAATGGTCAAGAGGTCCCGGCTTAGATCCCCGGTGCCACCAGATTTTCAGAAGTAGTGTGTCTGGAACGGGGTCCACTCAACCTCGTGAGGATAATTGAGGAGCTACTTGAATGGAAAAGTAGCAGCTCCGCTCTAGAAAACCGAGATTAACGCCCGTAGGGATCCGTTGCGCCGACCACGTGACGCCCTCTATCCGCAAAAGTTGGCACTAAAACTTCGCCGACAAGCGGCGGTCGCTCGGTCGGTATAGTTCGCTTGCGGNTCTGCTGATGGTTCAGTGGTACCGTAGAGTTTGTACATCCCTCGAAGCCTTGCGTAAGGAACTTTTGAGGCTTTACTTGTGCTTCTGTGTTCATCCCCAGAGAGGGGTGAAACGTGACTTCATCCCTTAAAGTTGTATATCGCCCTCAAGTGACTTGCGAAGACATGGCCATAATTGTGGACGACATAGGTCCTCCATGCAGGCATAAGTACTGGGAGGTCCCGAGGTTCGGTCTTGTTCGAGGGTTTGTCTGCCCTGACTATCCTCCCAGTAGATTCTGGTATAGTCCTTTAAAACAGCGCGAGACCGCTTCCTTTCTTATCCTATCCGTTATGTACAGCGGCGCTTTTTGTGGCCTATTTTACCGCTCTGTCAGTACCCAAATTTTATAACGTCGAAAAGAAACGGTCGGGGTGTAATAGGGATACTACCCCAGAATTTAGTCTAAATATGGCAGCAGTATTATCATTACAAAATGAATTGTAATGTATTTAAAAATATCTAAGAAATTTTAAAATAAATAGTTTGTGCAGAAACATAGTATTGTCACTTGTATGTATGTAACTCGACTGGATTTTGGCCTGGATATTGACCACTTTAACACGCAACTCTTAATGGCAATCAATTCCATCGCTAGAGTACAGAGATTAGTGTTCTCAATCTGTTACTGAACGTTTCCTGGTAACGGCTTCTGGAATGGGTTATTCCTCTGCCTTCGAGCTCCAGTCCTCACTGAATCGCGGCTGTTGTCCAAGTGCCTCCTTTTCAGAGTCAGATTTATATTATGACTGGAGGTTTACCGCCAGTCAGCTCGTCTTGGCGACAAGCCCCTTGAGACTCACGACACATTAATTTTATTTTCGAACTGAACACTTGCGGATGTAGTCCTTATGTAACATTCTCTCTGACGAGAAGATGGGTCTGTCGTTTATAATTTCTGGTGGTCCTCGCCAGCGCAATCACTCTTAGGTCAGAGTCCCGCGGGACTGATGACCACATTTTACTGTTTCAGATTCGAGATCCCCGCCCAAAACTGGAAGGCCAGGTCCCCGTATTTATATCCCCCAGGAACAGGGGGGCCCGGTTATACCTCCAGAGACTGGGTTTCCTTTTCGTCGCCTTCTACGACTCGCATGGCAACGGTGGAGGACCGAGCAAAAAACACTCTTTCCAACACTACCTCCTTTATCGCATGCTTATACATTTCCGCGGTACGTGTTTTCCGAGCCGTTGCCTAGAAACGACTGCGCGTTACAATATTATTATTTTACTATGAAAATGGAAGCATCCGATTCCCCCGAAACGTCGGTAAATATGTGTCTCAGACTACAGAACGTTGCATCCCAGAAGACAATATTTTAGTTTAATCTAGGAAACAGGAAGAGAAGTTAAAGGAACTAGGATTTTTACGTTGCTTATTGTTTTCTCTGTCTAACATTTCTCTGAGCAGGCAACCTTACGGAGAGAAAGGTCCATTGTGTTGAACGATGTCTGCAGTATGCCGATTTTGGTTTTATTGTGTGGCTAAACTGCGGTAGTCTATCGACTTATCAATGACGACGTAAAGACATACGTCAGTAGGTGGTGATGACGCAACCTCTCAGATGTGTTAGAGAATTGGGATGCGCAGGGAATACAAATTCGTCCCCCCTCCCCCCAAATGTCTGAACCTTTCCACGGATCTTTCGGCGCTTCAATTGTTGACACAGTCGTCATGTTGGTATTGTTGTATGCGTGTAATATATATATACAACAATGAGGTGACTTGCAGTGGTATGCCATTTATACCAAGTTTAATCAAAATCGACCAGTTTGTTCCATATTAAGAAAGGGACAGACGGGTTAGAACACAGGAGCCTGAGATGCAGTGTTTACGCGTTGGTCTCTAGCGCCCTCTGCAGTCAAACGAGACGCGTCTGTCCCCAAATTACTGCAGCCAGGCCCGGAAGTGATTCTTCTGTCGTCATATCCTGGAACATAGGCGCGTGTTACAGCTTCATTAACCGCACACCTGCACCTGCGTGTTACCAAGGAAACACATCATTACTGTCGCCATGGAAACAGAGGTGTACCATTCATTATTCACAAGAATGGAGACGTTGGTATTTGTGTTTGTGGTGTGTGTACACACCGTTGTCCTGTGCCATTGCAGCTACAGACTTGCACTAGCAAAACCAAGTCACACAGCACAGTGCCAGAATTTGGTTTTCGTTGTATTTAATTGCATTCTTCTCCAAGAAAATGTTTTCAAATTCAAATTGCAAGGGAATGGGGGAGCTCAGTACGTTTGGCGACGGGCTACGGGACGGACGGACCGGGTTAGCTTCTTGGTGGGGGAAAGATTTTCCTCTCCTCCACAGCCTCCAGATTGGCTCTGGTGCACACCCTACAACCTATCCAGTGGGTACCGGAGGCAAAGTAGCCGGGGCGTGAAGCTTACCATTCACCTTCATTAAGTGAGGTCAAGGATAGTAGAGCTATACCTCCACTCCCGCATGTCTTCATGACATAATTCTTGATTAATGAAGCAGAGGGACTTCATGTTTTTACCTTTATACAAATTGTAAGTCTTTATCACTTTTGTATGTTGTGTTGTGAACTGACTTTACATGCGATGACTCTTTTTGGAAGGTCGATAAAGTTCGAGTTGGGCTCCTTGCGGGTAACTCCACGAAAGGGTCACTCACCTGCGCAGTGAATTACTCGGCCGCTTGTGGAACCCGAGAATTCATTACCGTGCTCACAAGCCGCCACTGATATCAGTTCTGAGCCAGATGAACCCAATCGGTCCCATTACATCCCATTTCCATGCATTTTAATGTTGTGCTCTCAACTACTAGGTCTCGCGCGTAGTCCATTTGGTTTTCCTTTTGTTTCTCATATACAGAGGGTGCCTCGGTAGCGTATTTGGTTGAGGCACTATGCTACAAGCCGGAAGGTCGCGGGTTCCAGTCCCGATGATGATTTTTTTTTTCAATTTACCTAATCCTTCCGGCCGCACTATGGCCCTGGCGTCGACTCAGCCTCTAACAGAAATGAGTACCAGGAATTTTCGGGGGGTTGGGGGGTTAAAGGGCTGCCGGCGCGTAAGGCTGAGAACCTTACCGCCATCTGTCAGCCGATTGTCTATAGAAAATGTGGGAGACTCGACGTCTCACAACTCTACTGGCCTTAATGGCCTGTTACAGGGATAACTTTACTTTTTTACCTTTTTTCTCATATACAGTGTAAGAGATGCGAAGTGAAATGGAACCAGTTCCAGAACTTGTAGTGAGTACAGACAGTGCCAAATTTGGGCGTGACAGAAAAGAGTAACAGTGCAATACGAAATTTAAAGATGACGGGACACGACACAACAAAATACAGTACGAACGATTAAACACGATGGAATGCCATAAAATATAACGCATCACAGTACGAAATTTAAACATGGCAGAATACAAAACATCACCACATAATACGAAAACAACAGAATATAATGCGACACAAGACTGCAAATTTTAAATATGACAGAATAAAATACAGTAATACACAATATGAAATTTAAACACGATCGAATGGGTACAGTACATTACAATACAGTACTAAATTGAAACATGACAGAATGTAATGCAACAAAACAGTACAATTATTGAATTGTTTTTACATTATCCAGCTCCTTATTTTTTATTTAAAACAGTTTTACGGAGAATTGACCGCCTCTGTGGTCTAGTGGTCAGAGTTCCTGGTTACAGATCCTGAGGTCACGGCTTCGATTTCCGGCGCTACCATATTTTCCGAGCAGTAGTGGATCTGGAACCGGGTTCACTCATCCTCGTGAGAATAATTGGGGAGCTACTTAAATGGAAAAACAGCGGCTCCGGTCTAGAAAACCGAAATTAGCGACCGTGGGGATTCGTCGCTCTGACAACACGACACTCTCTATCCGCTAAAGTTGGCACTAAATTCGCCGACAAACTGCGGTCGCTCGGTCGGTTTAGTTCGCTTGTGGACTAAACCCACGGAGTTTAATTTTTTTGTTTAGTTACGGAGAATTAATTCCGACTCCGTCTTCAGGTAGAAACCTACGCAGGCCGAATCGATAGAACTAGTCCATATCTGAACACTAGCACCAACTGAGTAGGTTTCACCTGAAGACGGAGACGGAATCCAGTCTCCGAAACGTTGTTTCTTACATAAAAAACAGGACGATGGATAATGTCCGGAAACATAATTGTATTAATATACCATCGCCACACAAACTTTGACATGTTCACAACACTATGCAAACATGACAATACAGTACAAAAATTATAAGCATTACAAAAACACAACACAGTTCTAAATTTAAACTTGACAGTGCAGCCCAGCGCATTACAGCACCATTTTTTGCTTTAACATGACGGAACACAACACGAGACACTGCCAGATTTAAACACAACCTTTGCGTGTTTCAGTTGGGCTTCTTCACGTACTACACAGTGGCAATGGGCGGGGTCAACCCTTCGGGCCCTGTCCCTATAGACAGCGTGTTCATCTATCGGCCCGACAAGAGACTGGAGGTCTGGAGGTTCCTGTTCTACATGGTGCTGCACGCAGGGTGAGTGTCTGTCGTCTTGCGCGCGTTATACATAACTCTTACCGATCTGGTGTCTTAAATGTAGATTCTGTTGGCTCTCAAGTTTATAATCTCACAGCCAACAGTGGCTGAAGCTATACTTTTAGCCGTTCCATATGTGAGTTTCAGCATTTCCTCTTTTCCTTATCGGTTACATTGTGAAGAAGCCAGTAACTCAGAAGGCACAAGAAACCGGAAACCCGTTACAGCTGTAGTGTTCTTTCCTATTATTGCAAACTGATTGAAATCGCCATTAAAACAGAACAGGCTTCGTTGATTAAAATCTATTTGATGATATCGTGGAAACTTCTGGAAATATGTTGTTGCAAGAAGAACGGGCATTCTGTCACGCAACCCAAAATTGGTCTGAATGCGGTAAAGGAGCCGCGTGTGCTGTTGAAGCCTCTGCAGATCCGTGTTCAGTGTTCAGCTCATCCTCTTCTCTTGATATTCCAGACAGCACTCACTGTACTTTGTCGGATTTTTGAACGTTCCTTCCATTTCCGTCGCAGTTTGCATTCCATTTATAGCCTGTCAATTGATTGGTCTATAATGCAACAATTGGTTCGCAGTTTAATATCATACAGTGGTCCTTGTTATATAAAACTATTAAAATGTTAAAATATATGCATTATTACAATGCTATTAAAATACTAAATGCGTTATTACAATGCATGTATTTTAAAATTTTAATAGTTTTATATAACAAGGACCACTGTGTGATGATAAATTGTGAACCAATTGTTGCATTATAGACGAATCAGTTGACAGGCTATAAATGGAATCTCAATGCAAATGGATGTTTAAATATAAGGCAATTCGGAGTCTCAGCTCGTCGAAGTGCGTCAGTGAAGATTAAATTCCTAGTTTTATTATTAAAGCCTTTTCCAAGGTGTTTGCCCCTCCTTTAAGTCACATTTTTAATATTTGTTGAAATGGAAGTTTCTCACTTTACTTATGTTTGTTTTCAAGAAAAATGACGATGGTTCTTTAGTTTTATTATAGGCCGGTTACAATTTTAAATAACTTTTCCAGTATTCCTGAAAATGTGACACGACCAGCCCTTATTTCGTTTTAAATTTAATCTTCACCCATCTCAGCATGATTTCATTAAATCAAAATCCACTACAACAAATTTACTTACTCACTTAACCCTTCAAAGACAGAGAGATAGAGGGAGAATGTGGGGTGGGACTAAGTCCCTTGTACTGCGGCCAATTCTGGCCTATTGTACCAGCCCCAGATGACAGGTGAGGGTGATTGTTGAGCAATTGGTGGAATGAAGATTAGCAGGGGAAACCGAAGTACTGGGAGAAAACCTACCTCAGCGCCACTTTGTTCACCACAAATCCCACTTAACCAGACCCCGGGATCGAACCCGGGCCGCCGCGGTGGGCAGCCAGCGACTAACCGCTTAAGCTATGGCGCGACCAAGTGGGGTGGTAATGAGACACATTACACTGCGGTGGGAGGGGGAAGGGGACAGGAAACTATATTGCCGAGTTTTGAAGGTTCCCAGGCAGTGCTCGCTCGTCCTTCTGGTAGAGGTGATGCATATGATCGGAATTATTTTATTTTTTGTTATGACGTTGGAAGGGCATCATTATATGGAAAGTGTGATCCGATATTGGGAGGGCTACATTAGAGCGAAATTTCGTTGTTACCACTGGGAGGGCTGCCTGTGAAGCAAGCAGTGCAACATGGGAATTTGGGTACCAACTTAACATTTGCTGTAAGACGAAGGAAAACCACGGAAAACCTTGATCGAGTTGAGCGGTCGCAGGACCTTTCGGATGGAAACTGACTTCTAGCCAGCAGTCCGGCATTGAATACGCGAACCCTAACGTTAGTCCCTCTTTGTGCTCTTGCTGTGTTTGGGAAAAAGTTTACATAATTGTTTTTACAGATGTCCCTTTTTGTGTACATACTTCGGATGAGCACCAAACAGCTGTGTATAACACTTGTATTGGTGAATTTGAATATATATTGTGGTAGGCGGGAGGAAATCGGATGTTATCAGAGACCGAATTTCTTCTGAACTATATATAGCAATTCAGTTCGTACCTCACAGGAAACACATTACGTCTCCCCTACAAAGCCCAACCGGTTAATGCTGTTTAGGGAAACAGTCGCTGCTTATTGTGAGAACCATACGGAACACACAGATACGCTTTTTGGGCAGAATGCAGAGTTTTGGTATGTTAAAGCAGGTGGTACATATAGTAACCACTGGGCCTTAAAGGGTTGGACTCTGTTACAGTTCTGCTAGTTCATGAGGGCAGACCGACTATATATACCTCAGCCAAAGCTTTTATAAAGTCCCGCGTTCTCATCTGTTACACAAATATAATAGTTCTGGACTGGCATAACGCTACAGTACCTGGTTCCGGTTACATGCCATCCAGAGTTTCCCTTTTTCGCCTTCTGGGGAAGTTTCATTCTCCTTTTCTCATGGTCCGAGGATTGTATAAAAAAAAGGCTGTATTTTGGAACGTCTCTTGTTCTGTATTTTTGTGTACCAAATTATTTCCCCCCCAAATTTGAGCTTTGCTGATAATTTAAAAATGTTTCCTGTCATATCTGCCGAAGATTGTAAATTACAACAACCCGCCATGGCTCAAGCGGTTGGTCGCTGGCTTCCTACTGCGGCGTCCCGGGTTCGATCCCGGATCTGGTCAAGTGGAAATTGTGGTGGACAAAGTGGCGCTGGGGCGGGGTTTCTCCGTGTACTTCGGTTTCCCCTGCCAGTCTTCATTCCACCAAATTCTCCATCATCATAATCACCCGGGGAAGGTACAATAGGCCAATCAGTGGCCACCATGCCTAGTCGGGCCCACTCAGCCTCTGCTGGGGGCTCCTTCCCCGGGGATAAAGCGACTGGGGTCACTGACCTCCATCTAGTGGCGAGGTTATAAGCACGGAGCTGTGCCTCCCCTCATCTATATGTTAATGGTGTGATGCTTATTAAGCACAGGTACGGTATTCCCTGTAATTATTATTATTTCAAATGGAAGGATAGTGTGCTGCAAACTGAGTGTGGCTGAGATGCCATTTGAGCTTCAAGCACCACGTCAATGTGTTGGATTTGGGGTTATCAGGGCGCTGACCATGAAAAATACTCTTCGGGCATTACGCGGTGGATTCTGGCAGAAGTCCAGCGACGTTCCTTCTAAACTTCTACCGGACTGCACGGCATTACATCCCAGAAGACAATATCGTTCAAGGTGTTAATAAGACGCAAGATAGCAGATTGTCAAAATCAACATGTTTAAGTAATCCCGTAACATAAAGAGATACGTGGGAAGACACAGAAGTAGATGGGACAGCCCCGGGCTTGCAGCAACAGTAATAATAGTAGTAAGAGTGGTTAGTAGTGGCACAGGAGTCAGTGTGCACTAAGGAATGAGAGTGTTATAATACGATAATGTTTGCGATTTATTGGAAGACACGAGATCCTCTTAACCGGGCACGAAACTGCAGCTTTCTAGATATCGAGGTTACAAAATTGGGCGCATTGTGCTCAGCAAGAACCGTTGGACACCTGTCTGGCCCAGGTGCACGGCCCTCCGCCCTGGGGCTTCGCCCTACAGCCATGCGATCTAGCGTGACCATGAGTTCCTCCAACCCTGGTCTGCTGCTGATCGACACGTTTCCGCCGGCTACTGGATCTGTACCCCCCCCCCNGCCGCCATGAATAATGGGTCACCGTTTATATTTGCATTTTCTTCTTAACTCCTTTAAGGCACACTGGATAATAGAAGTACCACCTGCCCGTAAGATTAGAGTGTGTTTCGTATGACTCACTGTGTAGAACGATAGTCAGAGACGCAGTATGTTTTCTGTGAGGTGTGGACTCAGTTATTAAGTACTGTCAAAGTAACTTAGGCTTCAAATGGATAATCGCTCTCTCTTCATCTGTCTTCCTCTTTGTATATTTTTATTTTATCTTTCTCCTGTTATCTTTAGTGCAGTCTTTCGTGTTATCGTCTGTTTCCTTTATCCATTTTATCATTCTGTTCCCTTTATTACCTCATCCCGCCTTTCCTAATGTTAATGTTACTTCCTTCGCTTCTTCGTTTTAATTCAGCCCTCTCCTGTTAACACTACAGTTTCACTTCTTTCTGTTTTCTTGCAGTCTGGATTAATTTCTCCCCCCCCCACTCCCCTTCATTCCCGCCGTGCCTATCTCTTCGTGAATACGATATTACAGTGAGAAGGCGCAATACCGACGTCAGTTCCCAGTCACTCGCTGATTTGGTCCGAAGTAGGCGAAGTAAAAGGTAAAGTTAATCCCTGTACGAGATTATATGTATTTAAGTACTGCCGTGAAGATGTATGGTGAAGTGGAGGTACAATTCCACCATTCTTGATTTCGGCACTGGATGGAGGTTAGTGCCGCCAGTACTCACTGGGTTGCGGGCTGGGTGGGACTCAGCCGGTCTGAACGCCGTGGAGAATAGAATAAACCCTCACCCTTGCCGGGAATCAAACTCCGGTCATCCAGCACGTAGCCTAGTTGCCTTACCGACTGGGCTCTCCCCGATGAAGTCATATTGTAAGCCGCGGCCAACCTCTTTCGTTTCGGATGTGATGGACGAAGACTAGCAACGCCTTTTGTTTCACCCACGGCCTGGTTTCGAATGCTGGAGGTAGTTGAAAGTGACGTAGTCTTAAAGTAGCAGGCTTGTGCTGTGTCGAGTAGCTTGTCGAGAGGAAACTGAATTGACGGACTGCAGGAAGAGTAAGTTGGTCTGCACAATGTGATCTCTTTCGTAACAATAGATTTGTGTCTGTAATAAATGAACATCAAGGCGCATGCACAACGGAATAGAACGCATTTAGAAACGTAGTTAACAGTTATTACTTGTTTATGTTAAATATGAAATCGGTTTTGGCTAGGACGTTATAACAATAGACACAGCGGGTACCGTGTCGTGTGCTGCTGTGGCGGAACAAGAAACACTGGCCGGAAGAAATGCCGAAGGCTATATCAGACCCCATCTTTATCACAGAGAGAAAAAAAAAGGCTGAACCAGATACTCTGGAATACTTCCACCTGTATTTTGTTTCGGTATGCCTTAACTAATAGTTGAGGAATAATAATTTCTTAACATTTCTTTTCTCACTCACACGTTCCACTCCTCGGCAACCTAGATTACAGACCTGCTCGTCAGGTTATGTTGCGTTGCAGACGGAATCACCATCTGCTTTCAGTCTGATTCGGCTCTGAATAATCTCTTTTTTGTTTTATTTGTGCCTTTACGTATCTTGTACAAACAGATGTGGCCATTTGTATGGAGGGATACATACATAACGCTATGCATTTCTAATGACAATTTTTTCCGTATCGAACAAATAAAAACAAAGTTATGCATTGGATCTTCACTCATATTCCAGGCATGTGGAAACCAACCGAAGTCCGCTTGCTCATGTATGGTGTAGCTGCTTCCTTCAGTTCAATCATGGTGACAGTATAACACGTTTTTCCAGACTGATTGGATGATTATAGTTGATTCAATTGAACTAATATTTTACAGTTGTCAAAAGAATCCTAACTTAGAAAGAATTTATTTTCTTTTCGGGATGTGATAAAGAATATTTTGGAATGACAGTGAGATATCAGAATCTTAGCCTGGAGGAAATTAAGGGGAGACTGAATTCGAGTAATACTTGCTACCATTCTGTCGAGTACCTTAGAATATACAAAACTATAATTTTGCCAGTGGTTCTGAATGGGCATGAAGCTTGGTCCCTGAAGTTAAAGGGAGAAATAGAACTAAACTAAAAGAAGAAACTCTGTGGCTTGAGTTCGCAAGCGAACTGTACCGACCGAGCGACCGCCGCTTGTCGGCGAAGTTACTGCCAACAGCGGATAGAGGGTGTCGCGTGGTCAGCCCAACGAATCCCCACGGCCGTTAATTTCGGTTTTCTAGACCGGAGGAGAAATAGAATATAGTGCTGAAATGAATATTTTAGCCCAAGAGGGATGAAATAGCAGGATCCAGCAGAAAACAGCACGATGAGGAGCTTCATAATCCATAGTCCTCGCCAAGTATAATTAGAATGATCAAGGCAAGGAGGACGAGATGACTAGGGCATGTAGTACGCATGGAGGATAAGATGATTGTATACTGGGTTTTGATTGAAAAGCCAAAAGGAAAGAGATTAGTGGAAGACTTAGATGTAGGTGGGAGAACAATATTAAAATTAATTCTAGAGAAGTTGAATGGAGTGGCATGGACTGGATTAATCTGGCTCAGGATAGGAACCTGTAGACATATACTGACTGGTCATCACACAACCAGAACACACACTGCAGAGCACCTCTGGTTTGTGTGTGGTGGATGCCTGGTTTGAATGTCATTTGGGACATCAGTTGTGATGACTGAGGTTCTTTCTTGTGGTTTTTCCCAGTCCCTTCTGGTAAATTCTGTTATACTACCGTAGCGTATGACATAGTTGCATACTTCCACATACTTTCCAATTCTTTAGTCACTATCATCCAGCTGTTTGATGCTGTATAGTCCAACTTTTTTTTTTAATTCACTTAGTGGGGGGTGGAGTCCAACTGGGTCCACTCAGCACAGCGGCCACTGATTGGCCTATTGTAGCCTGCCCCAGGTGATTATGATGATGGAGAATTTGGTGGAATGAAGATTGTCAGGGGAAACCGAAGTACTCGAAGAAAACCCGCCCCAGCGCCACTTTGTCCACCACAGATCCCACTTGACCAGAGCCGGGCCGCCGCGGTGGGAAGCCAGCGACTTACCACTTGAGCTTACCCATTCCCAACAGGATTCACAGTGGATATTTTTGAGTCCACAGAGATAAGGACTGCAGAGTGCATGTGTTATAACAGGGTCTTAATTACAGTGTGTCGTCTTCCTTTCCACCTGAAATGCGTCTGCAGCCACTGTCTTGTCATTTCTTGGCATCCATCTCCTCACAGACTAGGCTTAAAAGTGTGGATTATGTAGATCAGTAAAATAAGTTGTTACATGCTTGTGCAGCCTGATGTGTAGTGTTTTATTCTGTTTGCAGTTGGCTGCACCTGTTGTTCAATCTCCTAGTCCAGGTTCTTGTTGGGTTGCCCCTGGAGATGGTTCATGGTTCACTCAGGATAGGCGTTGTGTATATGGCTGGTGTTCTAGCAGGTGAGGCTGTCACTGTGTAACGGTGATCTCCCTATTGGTGCTGTGGTATGCACAGGCTATTTCTTAAACACTAAATATTACATGTTGGATTTGAGATGTTCACAGCAGTGAAGACTGCTGGTCTTTGAGATGTGGTGCAATGTAATCCAATAGAAGATGGACAGTTTTATCTTCTGGGATGTAATTTCGTGTAGTCCACTGTCACCAGGCTGCACGGTGATATATCCCAGAGGATAGAACTCTTCATTATCACTGCTGTGAGAACCTCAAATCCTACCAGTAGACTGACTACACATACATGATGCCACATAGGAGTGAACAGGAATTTTAAGATCACAGCTCTCAGTCAATATTTTCCTAAAAACGTTGATATCGAAGGTTACAGAGTGTTACAAGTCCACAGTGTGAATAATTCTTAACAAAACTCACCTTCATGGACAAAATAGAAAGTAGATATTGTCGAAAAATATGTAAACTTGCATTTGACCTGCATACTATGTCTTTATTGTCACTTTGTCTCCTATGAAGTCCCTTAGTACTAACACATATTTGCTTCAATGTGACGCCCAGTTGAAAAAAGGCCTATTGGACCTTCAGCTTAATTCATTCTGAAGTACATGAAATGATGCAAAATAATTATATTTCATTTTCTGCATCCTGTTGTGTTATTGTTTACAGTTTCTTTATTACAACACAACAATATAACAGTCAAGGCTAAAATTAGCTTGGCTACATGTTTCGACTCATAAAGCCATCATTAGGCAAACGCATGAATACTACATTCACATACCACTGAACTTCAATTGCGTTGGTAAAGCTGGATACTTGATATACATTATAAAATACATGGTATAAAAGTACAATGAACTATAAACTCATTAAAACCAAAGTTATGACATATAATAAGGTGATATTCATGTGATATTCTGTATCATGAAGTCAGTTGTTGCAATTTCGTTATATTCCTGCGGACGTAATGGTATATTCTAGACTTGTATACATGTAATACTAAGAGACTAATAACAAATGAGCAACACTATTAGATCAGATTGGGATATTGTCAGGCATGGAGTCCCTCAAGGGTCCATACTTTGTCCGCTTCTATTTCTTTTCTATATAAATGATCATTCTACAATTTTTAATAGCACAGTTAAACCAGTCTTATTCGCAGATGACACTAGTTTGGTGATTAGTAGCAATAATAAATTACAATATAATAGGGATGTGAATATCTCTTTTGACTGCCTTAATGAGTGGTTCAAGTCAAACCTCCTAACCCTAAACTTCAGCAAAACTAAACATGTACAATTTGCGGCTAAGTCTTGTTCTAATACCGGAGTTATGGTTAATTATTGCAGTAATGTGATCCCAAACAGTACCGAGGTGAAGTTCTTGGGTAT